GAATATCTTACAGAATTGGAGATAACATTTGGAGTGTTGACCGGGTAACAAGAAAATCATAAAATCATTCATCGCCAAAAGAAGTATTCAGGAATGCTTCCAAAATTAATTTTAAAGAACTAGCAGCTGTGGATCTTCCCCTTCCCTATTTTCTATGAGATAATCTTTTGATAAAGCATAATGGCCCTTGTAACTCTAGAAGTATGTTTGCTCGTTTTTAGATGGTGGAGATGTATCTGTACTTGTTGATGACTACCATGGGGACTGCTATATTTTGAGAACATCTTAGATATCATCATTTCTTTTTTCATTTTTTTATATATATTTTTTTTTTTATTTCTAAATGCTAAGTGTTGTTTCATCCCATTTTCATTTTTCTGCAGTTCACAGTCCAGAGCAGATCTATTGACACTTGGTTTGGCTGTAACTTGTATTTTAAATGGTCTTGTATGGCTTTCAATTAGACCGAAATCTATATCTGTGGTGAGGAGGCTGTATCCTATATGTGCATTAATTGGTTTTTCTCCCCCTTTTTACCCCGATGTATTAGTTTATGTTGCAGAAACTATTTTACTTTTACTCTTCAAATTTCAGGTAAATCCTGAAGGGGTGGAATGCCAGAGGATATTTTCTGATTTTCCCGATTTCGTCATTTCTGAGTTACTCTGGTATTGATCTTTCTACACAAAAAGTTCAAAGTAAATATGTTTTTTCTTTGGTGAAAAAGTGAAAAATCAGTATAGTAGTGGGTATCTTAGTGATAACTCCATTATCTTATTCTCAGGGCATGGGAGTCTCTCTCATATGCGACATGCTGCAGGTCTCTAGTTGTTGTTTATGATGGAATCTGCATTTTACAAATAGGATTTGCTGCTGCATCTTCGTCCGATGAAGGTGGAGCAATGGTTGTCGATGCCCACAAATTGGTGCTAGGCTCCCTTTATAATGGTGTCATAAAATCTGGATCACGTAAGATCCTTCCATAGTTTGATATGCATACGAAGCCATACTCTTCGGAGGCTTCAGTTGTTGAGTAAATCTTAAAAGTACAAAAAATTTCCTTGCATATTTCAGAAAGTTACTTGGCCAATTTATCTCTATATCCTGGGAAGTCTGAGCTACCATTTTTACCTTCAAACACACAGGTAATTTTTGTCTATAATTAAAAACTAATTTGTTTTATTATCTAATAACAGTTATTTATGTAATAGATATCTATTTTTGACATGGCTATTCATTATTAAGACCAGCAAAATAAACAAGAACATTTCAATACCTAATGTTGTTTTCACATTCTCCAGTTGTTCAAT